CCCCAAAACCCCAAAACCCCAAAACCCCAAAACCCCTCTATGAATTTAGTGGTTGAATTCTAACCCAGAAGTGTGTAGAGCTTTTATGAAATTTATACTTTAAAAAGAAATAAATCCCAACAGTGTGGATAGTAATTACTCCCCATCATCAACTTTGAGAGCATCAACATCTTCATTTGTAGCTGTCTCCTCCCTTTCAAAATATTTCATAAGAGCATTGAACTGTTTTGCAGTTGAGTCTCCTTTGCGGATCAAGAGAGAAGGGATAGACAGAGTCTTGTTAAACTTTTTGTCATCTTTAGTTACAAATATTTTACCTCCTTCTCTACATATCTCTACTCTTTCAAGAGCATTAGTCTTCTTTTGAATCTTAAAACTCTCAAATCCTTTATGAAGCAAGAATTTATGGAGTCTGCTGAGGTTATAATCAATACAGAAAGAGGGAGTCTCCACCTTCTCTGCGTTAGACAATTCTGCATTTGGGGCAACACTTTCCCCTGCTTTCAACTTAATTGTCCTGATGCTTCCCTTTGCTAGTTTTTCCTTCTGAACCTTGAAGTCAGTAATCCCTGCGCTTCTTTGTGAAAGCTTAGTCTTGCCCATGATATAGGTATTTCTGTAATCAGTGATGTCTATTTCGTTCTCTTCAGCATAAGCCCTCATCTTTTCGAACAACTCTACAAGAATGTAGGAGTCAAGGGCTGAGTAATGCTGCTGGCTGAGTCTTAATGGCCTTCTCTCCCAGTTAGCCATTTGTTCGAACTTACAGACTTTGTAACCTAAAATAGCATCAACTATCTTGCTGAGTCCAAGGCCACCTTTCTGCTTGTAAATTGATCCATACATTGGTTGGACATCATAAAGATTCTGAATTTTCCTGAAGAAGTTCAATTTTGGGAACCCTTTTGATAACTCTCCGAGGTCACTTTGAATGCTCATTCCAATGATGTTGATATCTTCACTCGTAAAGACCTTGACTAAGAGCTCATCAAGTACTTGAGACTCCTTAAGCGCCACCATGTCAATTAGATAAACATTTTGTGTGTTTCCTATTTGAAGAAGTGCTACATTTGTATGGTTAAATTTAACCAGAGCTGGTCTCCATTCAGAGTCTATTCCAATAAGAGGCATATCAAGAAGGGGCTCAGCCAGTTTTACTTCTTCCTCACTTCCAATGAAGATAACCTTAGTTTCTTCAGGCATTTTGAAGTACTCCTCCTTTGGTTCAGAAATGGGTCCGAAAGAGTCTTCAATACAGTCAATATTCATCTCTTCTTCAGTAATTTCAATTCCTTCAAGCTGCTCTCTGACTTTTGGTTGCACTTTATCAAGGAGATCGTTTCTTAATGCCAAAGCTTTAGCATCTTTATGGAACCTCTTCTCCTTCTTGTAACAAAGATCATCAATAATGTAAACAAGCAGGGAGTCGTAGCCACTGAAGAGATCCTCTAACTTCCATAGAGGAAGGTGATCCTTGTGTTTCGGACCCTGTGAGTAGTTGTAAAGATACCATCTGGTTGTCTTCTTTGCTAGCCTCTCTTGCACATCTGGATAATCGTTAATATCGAGTCCCATTCTATCAATAATATTCGCGGCATATTTCACCAGCTTATTAGTACTCATAAGGCTGATAGCATACTCAGTATATTCATTCTTCATATCTAAAATATCCATGATTACATCAAATTTCTGGGTATCTATCAAGGTCTTGATTCCACTTTCCCAGTCGAACTCAATATCAAACAATTCAAAGTCTTGGATAATATCAATCGCGTCCAATACTTTCTTCCGAGACTCATAATCATGGATCAGATCTATAATCATTTCCTTTGTGAGGAAGAACCCAGTTGTTTCAGCGTACTGCCGGAGGCAGTCTGGCTTAAGGAACTTCCATTTCTTCTCAATATATTCCATGGTTTCAGGAGTGACCTTGGCCTCTTCTTGACTTCTTCTCACTAGATCAAGGCCATAAATAAGCTGGACTCTGACATATTTGCTTAGCTTCTTAAATCTTCCTGTAGTGTCAATTAACTCCGTAGTAATCTTAATCGCTTCATTAAAGTCAAGAGGATTTTCATTATCGGTCTCGAACAGCTTTTTGACTTCAAGGTACGAATTCCTTTGCTTAAAAGCTTGATAAAGCACGTAGGCAATTTCTTTGAATCTGACTTTGTCCATGTCTACAAAGTATTTTACCAATTCCAGGCAGTCTTCCATCTCTAGGAAGGCTTCAACCAAGTCTTGGTCGAAGACTTCGTCTTCAACCTTGGATGATTCTTCCTGATTGGCTTGAGTCGGAGTGAAAAGGTCTTCACTGGGCAAAGATCCGGAGATGTTTTCGGGAATATCCTTTTCCATTTTAAACTATATTTATTTATATTAATCATATCGTGTGGGACTCAAAATTAATACACAGCAAAGGGGTTTTGGGGTTTTGGGGTTTTGGGGTTTTGGGG